CTTTCTCCTACCTATAAAGCCTCATCTCCAATCACCTCCTCTCTTCCCTACAAAGCTTGCATGTGTCCACAGACACACACACAGAGCCCTGGACATCCTGCCCCTCCCGTTCCCCACTACTACCACCAATTTTCCTGCCAGGCCCACCCGGCCCCCCTTGCCGTTTTGTAAGCAGTATGCTTCACCTGGCTCCAGGCACTGCTCAGAGCCAACCCCTTCAGAAGTCCTTGCCATGAAAAAGTCTATTTATTTCACTTATGATTGTTGGGGTTTTTGTTGCTTGTGGTGTTCGGGTTTTTCTGGTACTGTTTGCCCCTTTTTTGTACTATTCATTAGTCACCTAAGTGTTAGCATTATTGTAGGTGTGTCTGTTTGATATATGTGACCAGTCACTCAGGAACTATTGATTTGAGCACATATATCAAACACTAGGCTACAGAGCTAAATAAAATGGAACTTGCAGGTTAGTAGGAAAAAAGCAAATAAGACTAGTGTTATTAGGTTGGGAGCTGGGGGAGGGAACTGGCAGGACCTGAGCAGGGCAGCACACACAGATTATTGTCCACATCATCCCTCATGTGTGAGCCCCCTGCACAGCTCCTTGCATTTAGTGACTGCTCCATGAATGTCTTTGAGTCGAACTGAATAAAGAGAGGAGTTTTTAAAGAGCAAACAGGGCAAGGGGCCGGGGTGAAGGAGACAGGGAGGGGGAACTAGAGGAGGCTGCCCCTCTGAGAGCATGTGCTGACTGGGGTGGTTTGGGGTTTAGGGCCCATCTTTGGAGCCCTGTCTCAGAGCTCCTTGGAAGTAAGGACACTTGTAGGGAGGTGGGTCCTTGGCAAAGGTCTACTGCTCAACCCTAAGGATTGGAGTTTCTCTAATTCAAAATAGAAAAGGAAAAGGGGGTCTATATTTGCCTTTTTTGTTTTTGTTAGGGGCAGGATAAAGGGAACATATACAGTTTGTTTCATGGTTTTTGTTTTTGTTTTTGGCCATATTTCTCAGATTTTCAGTTGGCTAATTTAAGGAACAAATCCTTATTTGAAAGCTACTTTTGTTGCTTTTGGGAGCTCTGGGGGTTAAGCAACCTTTTTGTAGCAGTATGCCTTTCTTGGTTTTGATTGGGATATTTTGAAATTCTAAGTGTGGAATGTGCCCTTCAGGTCAGAACTTGGTGTCTGGCCCTGCCAGGTACACTTTTGGCTCGGTCCTTTCCTAGATCACAGGTTCTCACTCACCAGTGAGGGTCATGGGAAAACAGAGCTACTCTGTGCACTCTTTGGTCCCACGTTGTTTGAGGAGAGAACATTCTGGTTACTTGAGTAAGAGTCAGTCCACTTACCTCATGGTCCTACTTGACACACACTGCACCATCCAGAATATGGTCACAGTACTGAAAGTAAGCAGACAATGCCTCTAAGAGGCTGGGATCACAAAGCTCATGCATTCATTTAATCAACACGTGTATTAAGTGGCTACTCTGTGCCAGTTACTGGGCTAATAAGGGAGGGCCTCCTCCCCTCAAGGACTATGTGGTGAAGAGCTTAGCAGTTGTTCCCTGAAGGCCTATTACCCAAAATGACTACCCTTTTGCAAATAAATCTAACAAGACTAGTTTATTCGCTTTTCTAGCCCACAGCCAATTAGCAGTAGTAACTAGAGGATGTGTGGGGATGATTGGTGACCATAGACACACAAATGAGTAGGCAGGAGTGGAGGAGGAAGACAAAGGATCATATACAGAGATGCCAGAATGGCAGTTATAACAGTCTGAGCAAGCCAGTTGATGTGAAGCTGAGACCCAGTGAATTTCAGTAGCCCTGAGGACATTGTTACCTAACACACTCTAGTAGGTGATGTTCCTGGTAATAACTCTAAATAAATCTAAATAAGAAATGATTGATTATTGTGCTTAAGGCACAAACAGTTATAATACCCCTCCCTCCCTACCTCCCTCCTTCCCTCCCTCCCTTTCTTTCTTCTCTCTCTCTCTCCCTTTCTGTTTTGAGATTTCCATCTTAACCATCCAAATGGTTAAAGTGTGTTTCTGCTTGGAAACAAGTCACATTTATCTGGGAAGTTACTTGTGTGGAAGGGCTTATTCCTCAACAAAACCATGCACATGAAACATAACTCTTGTTTAATCAAATCATTGTCATAAATACAATCAAGAATGAGGAGTTGTCAAAGGATAGAATGCAACCACTCTGAATATTCTGTGAATATAATGTAATCACTGGAAGTATCTAAGGAGAATTGCTCTAAAATTTATTTTCAGTGATTATCCATTTATGAAAGCCATACTGTTTATGATAAAGAACAGTTTGATAGAGTGTACAGGTTATGGGGAAGTGGCCCACAGGCTGCAGATGACAAGAGGTTTTGCCGTCACAGATGTGGGTGGGACAGTGAGTTGTAACTGCCTATCTCCATCACACCAAGCTCTTCTGCTGGGGAAGCAGGATCTGTTATTTATTTGATAGCCAACAACTGCTTGGAACCAGGTGTCAGCAAACTTTTCTTTAAAGAGCTGGAGAGTAAATATCTAGGGCATGTGTGTTACAGCTACTTAACTCTTGCCATTGTAGTACAAAAGCAGCCAGAGACAATTTATGATCAAATGATGTGGCTGTGGTCCAACAAAACATTATTGGTTTTGAGCTTAAATAGTAATTGTGAGAACACAGGGGATATAAATATAAATCTGTATGGCAGTAGGAAACACCAAAAGAACGCTTGCAACTGGAGGTTGTCAAAATGTAGAACTTCAGTCAGCTTTTGAATCATTGTGTGATATCAGCTTTTCTTTTCTTTGGTTTTCCTTGAACAGAGTTTGTAATTTTAGAATTTGCTGGGCACAGGTCAGGTCCCAGACATCCCTGATCTCTGATCTTCTACTGCCCTGTTTGGTGCTTCAGAAGGGGGGCCTGCATCTTTTAATGCATTTAGGTTGTCTCTGGCAGGACTACATTGCCACTGTCCTCTGGAGAGCACAGGATTGCTGTTAGAAAATTTTGGTTGATGGACCACCAGGAACCAAGACTTTTACTATACTTAAGATGGTTATTTATTATTATTTTTTTAAGACAGAGTCTCGCACTGTCACCCAGGCTGGAGTACAGTGGCATGATCTCAGCTCACTGCAAGCTCTGTCTCCCAGGTTCACGCCATTCTCCTGCCTCAGCCTCCCGAGTAGCTGGGACCACAGGCGCCCACCATCACACCCAGCTAATTTTTTGTATTTTTAGTAGAGACAGGGTTTCACCGTGTTAGCCAGGATGGTCTCAATCTCCTGACCTCATGATCCGCCCGCCTCGGCCTCCCCAAGTGCTGGGATTACAGGCGTGAGCCACCGCCCCCAACCAAGATGGTTATTCTATCTCTATGTGTCATGACTTCTTGTCACTGTGATAGTGACTGTATTTGTTGAGTCGATGTTCCTTTGGGCAAATAATGTAATAGCATATTTAACTGCCTTTCAGCCATTAATTCTCTGCCACCTTGAGAGGAGTGGCCCTGTCCTTATTCTTCATTATTAGTCTGTGCAACTTGCGACTCTAGAATGTCTGTCATTTTGAATAGTAGTTACTGGTCTGCCCTCCTTTTTGGACATGTCCTTACTATTCATAACAATACTGAAAGCCTGCCTTTGCCCTTCAGAGCCATAGTCTTAGGAAGCATACATGGCCAGTGCTGCTTTTGAGTGATTTCTTCTGCTGTGTAGTTACTTGAGTTCTCAAAAGACAGAGATATTCCCTGCCTGTGTTGTAGCCTGTGCTATGGGTGGCTTTTCCATGGCACCTACATCTGGTGGGGCGCTTGAGCCATTGCAGTTTCTAACTGAGAAACCTGGTTGGTGGTGCAACAGGCCAGAGAGGGTAAGGTAAAGAAGAAAAGGGAAATCTATGCTTTCTGTGTCTTGCAGCACATGCTGTGGATAGACATTAGTCATTGATTCTTGGTTATTTCATTGCTGTCTGCAGAGACTTGAATTGCAGCTTCTAGAGAGAAAGGGTGCTTTGCTCAGCACTTGTTTCTGAAGGAATGGATGTATTTCCTAGAGAAAATACATGTGCATAGCCTGTGAGGTGTACAGAGTGTTGTGATCTATATCGTTCATCACAGCTCTTCCACCAGTTCCCTCAACCCTCATACCAGCAGTCCTGGGAGGAGGTGGCCAGGGCTGGAATGTAGGTGTTTTCACAGGTGAGGAAACAAAGGCATATGAAGCACCCCACAGCCAGGTGGTAGGAAAACATCTTTGAGCTCGCTCCCCTTCTCTCTGCCTCTCCTTTTAAGTCAAAATTTGAACATATCTACTGAGGCACTGTCCACCCAGTAGATCTCTAATAACAACGAGACCTAGGTTCTAGTGCTACCTCTAAATTGCCAGGCTGGGCCGGGTGCCGTGGCTCATGCCTGTAATCCCAGCACTTTGGGAGGCCGAGGTGGGCGGATAACTTGAGCTCAGGAGTTTGAGATCAGCCTGGGCAACATGGCGAAACCCCATCTCTACAAAAAAAACCTAAAAATTAGCCAGGTGTGGTGGTGCATTCCTGTAGTTCTAGGTACTTGGGAGGTTGAAGTGGGAGGATCGTTTGAGCCTGAGGTGGGAGGTCAAGGCTGCATTGACCTAAGATGGTGCCACTGCACTCCAGCCTGAGTGACAGAGTGAGACCCCACCTAGTCTCAAAAAAAAAAAAAAAAACATAAATTGGCTGTGTCTGCTGCTTCTGCTCTGGCTGACCTTGGGCAAGGCATTTACCCTTTAGAGGCTCCTTTTTATTATCTGTCATGTGAAGGCCCTGTTTCAAGAAGGCTAAATTGACTCTCAGAAGCAGGGAAGAGGACTCATGTTTTAAATGAACAAGGTGATTAGGTGACTTTGCACATAGGGGTTTGCAGATAGGTAATCACAACTCACTTTGGGAGTAATTTTGTCAAACCTCCTTAATGATAAGAAAACACCAAGTTTCTGGATTCTTTCCTCTCTCTTTCAGATGCCAGTATGGACAGAATAGCTTATGATGCTTATCCCCACCCACCACTTCCGAGACATTGAGCGGAAACCAGAATACCTCCAACCGGAGAAGTGTGTCCCACCCCCCTACCCTGGTCCTGTGGGAACCATGTGGTTTATCCGTGACGGCTGTGGCATCGCCTGTGCCATCGTTACCTGGTTTCTGGTCCTCTATGCAGAGTTCGTGGTCCTCTTTGTCATGCTGATTCCATCTCGAGACTACGTGTATAGCATCATCAACGGAATTGTGTTCAACCTGCTGGCCTTCTTGGCCCTGGCCTCCCACTGCCGGGCCATGCTGACGGACCCCGTGAGTATGTCTGGGCTTGTTTTGACCAGCCCACACTCTCCTCCTCTGGCTCTGGCATGGCCATAGCCTGCATGCTCCCCCTGGACCTTGAGAATTGGGAGAATAGGAGCGCCAGGGGAGGGTGAGGAAGTAGACCTCTGCCTTGTTCAGAGTTCTGTGGAATTCTGACTGGGGAAGAGGGGTCAACACCTCTACCACAGCCCATCTGTCTTGGTTAAATGATACTATAAGTACATGGATATATGCATTCATTGGGCCTGCTGTGGGAGGGGTTTGGTCTAGGGGAAACCTGGCCTCTGGTTAAAAAGACACAGATAACCTTGAAGACTGGGACCAGATGATCAGAGCAGAAAGCATGCTGGAGGGTTGGGTCAGGATGGGGCTTCCCAGTGAAGACAGTGCTGGAGCTAGGTGGACTTCAAATTAAAGCCACATCCAATTCCAGGAACCTGCACGGAAATGGCCTTCACTTTGCTTGGGCGAGGTGCGTCTTTTCCTGAAAAGCTGGACAAGCCTGTTTCAGGCCGCAGCAAGTGCCTCTTGGTGAATATCTGTGGGTAAAGCAGTAGTGTTCTGCTCAATGACTTAGCTGAATATACCAAGCTGCGCACGTGGCTATTGAATGTTTGTGCACCCTGGTATTAAACCCTCTGTTCTGTTCCTTTTCTTGTATGGGAAAAGCAAGAGAATACATTATTTGATAAAGACCTTCTGTGGCTTGTTTCAGTACGTGGGACGTGTGTGTTTAAATTAAGAGAGGGAAAGCACTGCTACTAGACACTGACCATACAGATTTTGTTTCTGTGAGCCCCAGGGACAGTGAGGTAGTGATGATAATGATGGGCCTGAGCTAGTTCTTGTCTCAAAGGGCTCCATTTCCTGCCGGTTCAGGTGGTGGATTATTATTAATCCATCCCAAAGGAAAGCAGCTTTCCCAACTCAATTACATGTCGGCCACTAGTCCAGACAGCATCTCTGTTCATGCGCATGCCTTAGGGAGACCAAACACACTGGCAGGCAGGGGCCTGTTGGCCTAGTATTTAGCACTGCATGTGGGACAGCCATCACCTGAGGGAAACCATGTATACGGGTATAATCCTAAGTGTCCCCAAACACAAGGATATGAAAGAGTTTTCCCAGCAGCATCTATATGGTCATGCTGAAAATAAGTTAAGGATTTATTCAGAAATGTTTATGATACCATTGCTATTGGGGATGCAGAAGTAAAAGACATTGCTTCTCTCAGTTCATAGTTTACTGTCTACCAAGCCCCAGATACTGTTCTTATCCTCAAGATGCCCTCTGTCTAGAAAAGACAGGTGTCGATAAACCTGTGTGATGAAGGTTGTGGCAGAAAGAAACATGGATTGCTGTGGGAGAACAAGGGTGGGGAGATTAATCAATCTATAGAGGTGCCTGCTTGGAGGAAGCAATGCCAAACCAGCTCTTGTCCAAGCAGTGGACGTTGAGGACAGGAAGGCAGGCAGAGGGAGCCGCTTGCAGAGACATAGGAATGCAGGAGCGTGGCTCCTCTAGGCACCAGGAGTGGTGGGAACTTAGGAAGAGAATGAATTTAGGTTGGTGACGTGGGTGAGGTGCCTGAGGAGGAGGATAGGAGTTGGATGATGAGGGGCAGTTTAGGGCCCCTAAGGATTTTCAGCACATTTTAAACAAAACTGTCATTTTACAAGTCTCACTCTGGCAGTAGTGAGGAGGAGTGGCACTGGTGTGGGAATAAAATGAATGGCCATGTTTCCTGAGTGCCCGTTCTGTGAGAGATTGCTTTCTGAGCAATGGCTACAGTTATGAGCAAGACAGATGCAAATTCCTGCCCTTGTGAAGCTCACTTTGTAGTGACGGGGTCAGGTAGTAAGGACATGACTGAACAGGGTATTTTGGAAAGTGATAAGTGCTTTAAAGACAATAAGACAAAGTGACCAGGATGATGTGCTGTTGGCTCTCTGGGGCAAAGGGGGACTACTTTAGATCGAGGTGGTCTAAGGCACCATCTCGGAGGTGGTGCCTTTTGAGCTAATCTGAATGACACAGGGTTACAAGCCAGGCAAACAAAGATCCAAGGGTAGAGAAAAGAGTAGATTCAAAGGCCCAGAGACAGAAACATGCTCAGTACATCTGAGAAATAGGACTAGGACTGGGGTGATCAAAACATGGTAGCTGGGGGTAAGAGTGATTAGAAGAGGTGAAGAGGGCCTCAGAGGCCAGATTGTGCAGGGCCTGGTAGGCCTCTTGAGAACTTTGGATTTTATTCTAAGTGCAGTCAGCAGCCTTCAGAGAGACAGGGTGTGATCTGATTTGCATTGTGCTTGCAATGGAGGTTCAAGGTGTTACAAGTAGAAGCAGGGGGACTAGAGGTATTGCAGTGGTCCGGGCAAGACATGGTGGTGGCTCGGACCAAAGTAAGAGCAGTGAAACCAGAGAGAAGCTGTTGGATTTGGAGTCTGTTTTAAGCTACTAGTTTTCAAGCCTGCCTGTACCATCTCTTGGAGAGCTGTTTAAACGTACTGATGGCTGGGCCCCATCCCCAGGGACTACTATAATTGGTCTGAGGGCAGGGCCCTGGGTATTCAAATGCTTTAGAGCTGCCACATTTCCCTCACATTTCCCTCTCAGGCCAGGCCTGAGAATGCGGTTCAGAACTGACAGAATGGAGAGAGATTGGAGGGTGTAACTTCCATAGTCTTAGCTAGAGCATCTTGGGGAGCACTGGTGCCTGTTATTGATTTTGGAGGAGAAATCAAGACTTATGTTCTAGTCAGACTGCTACTATATTAGTGCAAGTGGAGATGCCAGATGGGCAGTAGCGAGTCTGGAGCTGATGGAGAATCAAGGTTGGAGAGAGTGTGTGTGGAGGTCTTTGGTTTCTGGAAGGCATGTGAAAACAGGGAACTGGATGTTAGGCAGTGAGAGGGGAGGCTTCTGCCCTGGCATTCCTGCTGCCCTCACATACATGGGTTCTTTACCCACCGCACTGAAGCGTGCAGCGTCTCCAGGGACCTTGGCCAGCTGGCCCTTGCAGTGGATGCAGGACAGCATGAGTCTCACTGTGGTGTGTTGCCAGCTTCCAATCCCAAAGCAGTGAGAGGCACAGACTGTATCCTAAACAACAGTTAGCTTCCCAGAGGTGTATTTTGCTGGTAGCCCCAAAGAAAACTGGCCCCCAAAGTGAAGAATTTGTCAAATATCTACCATTAGTAAGGGAAGCAACTGAAAGCATGTTCTACAGATGTGCCTTGTTTTAGGGTCTTCATGCTACCATCGGCCTCTCCCCATCCCCAGCACATGATATCTCATGTGCTCATATCTCATCTAAAACCCAGTATGCAAAACAGAGAAGTGGGGCTGCAGAAGTAGGAGCTCCTAAGGCGCTGTTGGGACACCCTGGGATTCCAAGGAGCAGAGTTGGAAGCCTAGGTCATAAGCAGATAAGTTAGGCGTTCCTTATTAATATTGCAAAGGAGTCTTTTTTTAGAAAGTGGTCACTGCAGAGTTCTAAGGAGTTCCCTAATGGGATTATAATGTTTTATATCTCAAGAATTCATGTTGCACATACTTTTTCAGAACAGTTTATATCCAAAGGTTATAAGCAATGTATGCATTGTGTATCACTTTGGTTTGTTATCATTACTAGTTTAAAATATATATATATAATTATATATATATATATATTAAAAAAAATACCTTATGTTCTCCCTCAAGCGGTAACTTTACCGCTTTCAGCTTTGAAATAATTATTCCAAGTGTAACATCTGAACAATTGCAACCACCACAGCCTTCTGGACCATTTATCAGTGATCTACTCCAATGTAGCAGTAGATAGGTCCACATAGAGCTTGAAAAGAAAAGGGAAGTGGGAAATGACTCACAAATGTATAAACAGCCCCCTTGGAAGTGAGATAGCCATTTGAGAAATAGGGCAAAAGGGACAGGTCTTTAAACAAAGGGAAGAGGACAAATGGACAGAGAAGCAGGGCAGGCGCCTCACTTGGCAGGCAGGCTGGCCTGGAGGCGGCATGGGTGTGGGCAGGAGCACAAGTCAGGCTGACGTTTGGTCTCCTGACACCTTCTCCTTGCCCACTCTGAGGTTGCGTAATGTCATCATAGGAGCTTTCTGTGTTCTGGAAACACTTCAGACGTTTAGAAGGCTAGAATGACTCCACGTGCCCTGCGGAGGCAGCCTCTTGAAGACAAACTGGACTCAGAAACCCTTACCTTAGTACCCCTCTCTCTCTTTTCCTCATTTCTCGGTTTCACCACCTTTTCTTTTCCAAATCCCTCATTCTGTGAGCTCCCTTAGGAGTCCTGAGGGGCTTCCTTATTTCTGAGACAATGTCTGTCTCCCAGGAGATGCTTAAACCTGACAGATGGAGATTGTTTCTTTTTGTCCCGGCTGCCAGGAAGCTCAAAGCCAAGTGTTGCACAATCACAGTGATTGTATAAACCCTTATGATCAGCATATTTTTGCCCCTTCTTTTTTGGATCTTATCGTTTATTAACTTCATAAATTATTTCAAATCAGATTTGAGAAAAGGAGGAATATACAGTCATGCGTCACTTAATGATGGGGATAAGTTCTGAGAAATGCATTGTTAGGCAATTTGATCATTGTGCAAACATCATAGACTGTACTTACAAAAACCTAGATGGTACAGCCTGCTGCACACCTACACTGTATCGAATAGCCTCTTGTTCCTAGGCTACAAACCCATGCAACGTGTTCCTGTACTGAATACTGACTGTGGGCAACTGTAACACAATAATATTTGTATATCTAAACATAGAAATGGTACAGTAAAAACATGGTATTATAATCTTGAGGGACTTGTTGTTGACTGAAACATCATGGTGTGCATGACTGGATTTATAGTCAATTTAACCCCATTATTAAGGAAAAGAAAATTTGTCTGTCTGCCTGCTCCCCTACCCCAACCCCTCTTGAATCCTACTCTGTGAACACCTTGCTATAAACAGACCTGCATGACTATCTCAGACCACTACTGGCCACTGATTTTCATTTCAGCTGCCAAAAGTCATTGAGTGGAAATATTGGGGCTCACTTCAAACGTGCAATTGGTATTCCCTTCTAGAGTCTTTTTTGGCAGCCTTACAGAGCATGTGCTGTATTCAGAGCCCAGGTGGCAAGTATTTCCTGGAAGGGTAGCATGGCAGCATGATGTATGTGGGAACATAGAGGAGGAATAGCAGGCCAGGTGCTCGCTGCAGCCAGAGAAGGGCCTTGCCCATCTTGCCCAGAGGTATTGGCACATTCACTGCATCAGGTTAGGGGACTTGCCTGTGGGTCCATTGGAGTATCGTGCTGCATTCTCCCTCATGCCAGGCAACTTCTCACCCCTGCCCCTGAGCAACTTATAAATCCCAACAGGAAAAGCTTTCTGGCTCCAGAGAGAGGAAAGCAGCCCATTTGGGGACCAATTAGCTACCTTTTACTTTTCTGTGGAGGAGACACATGGCCAGTGATGCGGGCCTGGGTTGGTTACCATGCTCCTGGGAGAGCTGTTAGAGGG